CCAAGATCAGGTCGGTGGCTTCTTGCAAATGCCCTGTCTGAGTGACCTTCTCAGATGACGATGAAGGAATGGAATCTTAGACGAGGACTGGATATGAATGAGCGTGGCAGGGACCCCTCCTTCCCAATGGCTGCTGGGTTCATATCAACGGCTGCTGCGTCAGAGCCCCAGGGTTGCAGTCCCCATGAGGTGACTTGTCACACACGTGCCTCCTGGGGACGTGCCTCTCAGCTCCCTCTTCTTCATGGGGGAAATAAAGACTCTGGTAGCAACACCAACCTGCCTGGGCGGTGGAAGCTGCACAGAGCGGCCGGTGATGGTAACGTGGCAGCGTTTCTCCAGGAGCCCTCCCTAATTAGTTAAGGAGCCTGGTGAGGGCTGAACGCTGCGCTGTGAATGGAAGGTCAGCGTTTGGAACCCACCAGCTGCTCTGCAGGGGGATGAGGAGGCAGCCTCCTCCTGTAAGGATGGCAGCCCTGCGAATGGGCAGTCCACTCTGGCCTACAGGGTCATTGTGAGCCAGAATTGACTGGAGAGCAGTGAGTTTGGGTTCGCGTACTTATTAGAGACTGAAATGGGCTCAAAAGAGTTAGTGGGTTGCTCTAGTTTTCTCCAAGAAACAAAAACAAGCAAAATTGCCATTGAGTTCATTTCAACTCATGGTGACCTTATAGGACAGGTGAGAAGTCCCCTCATGAGTTTTTGAGGCTGTAACTTTCTATAAGAGTAGAAAGCCTCATCTTCTCCTACAGAACAGCTGGTGGTTTGGAACTGCTGACCTTGAGATTAGCAGCCCAGTGCATAGCCACTGTGCTACCAGGGCTCTTGTTCTACTTCCCATAACCAGTGGGTTGCAGAGCTGAGCATTCCAACCCAGGGCAAATGGAGACTCGGGTTCTGCCTCTTCTCAGCCACTGGCTCGGGCAGCAAGCAGGGTGCCCATTGCCGTTCCTCTACAAACCACTCCAGCCCAGGTCACTAAGTTGATAGTGCCAGAGTAGAATATATGATGGTGAACCAGCTCTTTAACGAGAGACATCTGAGTTTCAAAGTAATGACACTGAACAAAAGGATACTGTGGAAAATAGCAATGCAGTAGAGTAGTGCATTCTGCCAGGGGCCCAATTTGGTAACCATTGCTTCTTAACAAAGTGCTTTAAAGAAATGTGGTAACATTGGTGGATTTGTAGCTTTTCTTGGACTGGGAGGTCTGTGACTCTGGCCCTGTGTTTGCATTCCTGTTGGCATTAGGTAGATGGGACACTGGCTCAAGTGCCCAGGAGCAAGAGGGAGCGGTGGAGACTGTTCACAAGAACATACCTGGCCCTCTGCAGAGTGTCAGTGGCTGTTGCTGCCCGTCATTGTTGCACACATACTACTATTATTCTATTGCTGGAACCAAAAGGAAACTCTTCTTGTCCCTACATGTGATATCTTGTTTGTTTTGGGGTATAGGGACTGTGGTTCAGGTTGTTGTTAGGTACAGTCGAGAAGAATAAGAAAATTTGTCCTGAAAGAAGTATAGCCAGAATGCTTCTTAAGAAGTGAGGAGGCTAAACCTTTGTCTCATCCTCTGGACATGTGATCAAGAGAGCCGAGTCCCTGGAAAAAGGACATCATGCTTGGTAAAGGAGAGAGGGTCCTCGAGAAAATGGTAAACTCTTGATGTGACGGACTTACTCGGGGGCTACAATCACAGGCTCAAATAAACAATTGCGAGGCTGGCACAGGACAGGCAGTGTTTTGTTATGTTGCACACAGGCTACAGTGAGCTGGAATCGCCTCCATAGCACCTAACAATAACAACACGATTCTGTAGCAATACTTTTTGACTTAGCCTCATACTGTTTTTTTCTTTTGTGCCTGGCTTCTTTCACTCAACAACAGTCTGTCCTTTGTTAGTAGGCCACTCATCTCCCTTGATGTGTTGTTTTAAAATGATCCAATTACAGCGCAAGAATACTTTGTTTTATTAAACTGGCATTCCATGATGCTAACCTTCCCGACACAATCTCTGAAGA